CTCTCTAGGAATTTAGTTTATGACCTTTCTTTTAGATGCTCAGTAAACAAACACTACGGGATTTTTTTAAAAAATGTTTTTATTTTGTGAATTAAAGGCTAATTTGTATGCATTTATACATCCTTATTTATGCATTTTTGATGTACATTTTGCAAACATCACAGTGATGGTTAAGCGGTTGATCCTTTGTTTACATATTTTCAAAATATCATACATTTCACATACGAATCACATCATACAAATTCTAAATTCTCTGAACTGCCACATATGGTTTTTTTTTTATTGTATTTTTTTCTGCAAAACTGATGTTTTTAATGTTTTTTTTAACCCTGTATTTCAGAAAACACAATATTTCAGTAAATTTAAGACTTTAAATACATTTTAGTTTTAGAAACTTAAGAAAGTTTAAGATTTGTTAAGACCCTGTGGACACCCTGAGTATTAACAAAACTATTAACTACCACTACTAGCTTAATGAACTACTAATTAGCTGTTTATTAACAGTTAGTAAGATAAAGTTTAGATTTTAGGTAGCATTAGGGATGCAGAATAAGATCGTACTTTATAACTATTAATGAACAGTTAATCTCTTAATATTATGCAGCTAATAAGCCAGTAGTTAATAGCATGAATTGTGACCTAAATTAAAGTGTAATTATTTGTATTCACTCAGATTCTTATAATTCTGCATTATTTCTAAATTAAAGAGATAGTTCACCCAAAAATAAAAGTTCTGTCATCATTTGCTCCCTTTTTGAGGAAAGCTAGGAAATCTGTAAAAATATGTTTATATTTTGTTTCATGCTCACATTTTTTTTGCACTGAATTTTGCAGCTTTTTGTCCTTCTACATAAACATTTAATACTTTTTTGACAATCGCATTATGTCTTTGGTCTGTTTTTTCATAAGAGTATTCTAAGATTTAATTTTATTCTAGAGTATACAAATTTTACACTGTAAAAAATACTGGATCCACTCAATACATTTTTGTTGGGGCAACATGAAGGAATTAAGTTACCTTATTCGTTTTTCACAAATTAAGTGAACGGAGTGTAAAACAATTAAGATGTCCTCCTCCCAAATAAAACTAAAGAATTGTGTTGTTTCAGCTCATTTTAAATAAGTAGTTTGAACAAACAACAAAAAAAATTTTTTTTAGTCTACCCTACTAATTATTGAGTAATCTCTTACTTTTCTAAAATAATAAAGTTCAAACACAGCATTCACATGACAATTCTCAGCTTTTCAATGTTTTGATATGTCTAATGCTAATTCATATGAATTTCTATAATTTCATTCGGGTGTTTTTGTACACTAAAAAAAAAAATTCCTTGGATTTACTAAATTATTTTAACTTAAGAGGTTGTAAACCATTTATTTGGGCTAAATTTAAACAAACAAATTAAGTTAAACATTACTAAATTTAACTTGTTTGTTACAATTCAACCCATATAGATTGTTTGCAACTGTTTTGCAGACATCATTCTTCAGTGATCTGCTAATTGAGAGCTGGGTTTAGGGCTGAGATAATATTCTTTTAAAATAAATGACTTTCAGTTTAAATAAAAAATGTATTTTTAATCGAACAGCTTCATCACACATTCTACATTTGAACAGAACAAATTCAGAATTCTGTTGTGCTCCTTTCTCAATTGATTTTTGGCATAATATATGCTCGAAGGACCCATCCCTGACCACCGTGCTTGCATATTCTGTGCCTCATACATAACATAACGCTCTGAAATCCAGCCGATCAAAGTCCATCCGGCAAGTTTACACAGACAAAATCCTAATTAAAAGCAGCAGAGATGAGCACAAACACGCATTCTGTCTGAACCAGCGCTGTGAGGTCAACAGTGTTAGTGCTAGTCCATCTCACAGTTTAGATGCATGTGTTATTTATATCCTGGAGTCATTAAGTCAATGAAACACAGCATGGCCATTTGGCCACAGGACAGCAACTTTTCGTTTTGAAGTGACAAATGAATCTCCTCTCAAGCAAACAAAGCAGTCGACTGTTTTTACTTTAGGAGAAGGTTTTTTTTTTTTGATGATGCACTTAAAAAGGAAACTTGTTTTGTTCAAAGAGGAGAGCTGGACATTCCTGGTGACGATCGAGAAGCATTTCCTCAAGCATGTTGAGAAAAAAAGCTGAATTTCAGGAAATAAGGGAGCGGGTGAGCTGGTTTCCCATCGCTCTGCTATTTCTGTCACGCTGAGATGTTGTGAAGTGCATCACATCATTATCCTGAAGCTTTTCCTTGCTCTAATTTAGACACAGAAGAGGATATGGCACAATGCATCCGCTGGAAGATGAATTGATGAAAGAAACATAAGAATGGTCAACAGACTCATTTTGGGAAAGCATTAGACTGGCACCAACAAATTCAGTGCAAAGTGCTGCAGCAGACATACTAACGGCATCTAGTTATCTAGAAATAATGGCAGAAAACTGGCATTGTTCTGATCAAGTGGTACTGTGATAAATGGATGTAGTGCTTTTAGAGGAGGAAAAGCTATTAGAAGCGGGAATAGTTAGGAATGTGGCCTACTTTTCTCTGAAAGAATAAACTTCCGTCAAAAAGTTCTCAGTGTTTGCATTTGATAAATGATGAATTGTAATTGGCACAATGAAAATAATGGTTCTGATAACTGATTTTGATAACTGCCTGCACAATTAGTAGTCGAGTAGTAAAAATTGCCAGTGCAGTTGTAGGTAAAGCACAAAGACAACTAAATGAAATGTATTTAATGAGAACTAAACAGAAAGCATGTCATTGTTGAAGATTGTTCCCATCCCCTACATATAATATTTCAGCTTTTGCCATTAAAAAAACCTCAAGTAAAGAAAAATGTCAATCAAATGTCCTTTGTGCTGACTGCCACTAGAATTTTAAATACTTGATTTTAATTATAAATATGGTTAATGGAGTTTTTAATGTGATTTATATGGTGATATTGAATGTATTTGTGTGTGTTGCCTGTTTTCTGTAATATGGGTAATGTGAACGCTGATGTGGTTGTGTGGTGAAGCCTAAGATTAACTTCCACTTCAGGGTTCCAATGTTCCAATGTTCAGGGTTTCTGTGGATTTCACCAAATCAAATGTAAGACTTGAAGACCATTATGAATGAAATTTCAGACTTGAACAGCCCAAAATGCTAAGGATTTTTAGTAATGATCAGTAGAATATTTTACTTGCTCAATTAAAATTAAAATTCTGTTATTTCTTAGCAACTTATTATACACAAATAATGTGTCAAAACAGTTTTACACATATATATACATATTTCAATTACTATACTTTCTCTTTAAAAAAAGACATGTTTTAAAAAGTATAATGAACTAAATTTATTCACATAATATATATGCATAAATAACAAAAAACTAATGTTATTGTAAGGATGTATGGAAGACTGTTTACCAGTATGGTTTAACTGAATTAATCAATTCTACTTTTGTTAATGTTTTTTTTAGATGGACTGTTGGTTGTAGTGATTGGGTAGCTATACATGGACAAAGGAAAATCAAGACTTGCCTAATTTACAGCTTAATTTACAGGTTTCTTCAAATCAAATTTAAGACTTTTTAATCATTATGAATGACATTTTAGACTTACACAGGGCTAAACATTAAGGTTTTTTTAATGGCCTGGTTTCTTCTTTAATAGGTTCTGTATTAATGGAAGATCGCATAAAGAGATTGCTTTAGTTTTTTTCCCCACTGATTAGGAACTTTAATTTTGAGAGTTTGCTGTAAAAATGTCTAACAGCTGTTTTTGTATCACTTTGCAATAAAAAATTATGTATAAAAAATTGACATAGATTATTGATTATTGGCCCAGATGGGTAGCTTTACTTGCACATTGGAAAATTAAGACCTGTTTAAAACGATTTAAGACCAACAAGACTACATTTTAGCAAATTTAAGATTTTTTAAGCCCTAAAATGTTATTTTTAAAATGTAAGACATTTTAAGACTTTTTAAGACCATGTGGACACCCTATATTTAAGACAGACGACACCATATTTCAGGGAATTTAAGAATTTTTATGTGAATTTTGACTTTTTAAGACACCGTGGACATCCTAAGTATTAACAAATCATTAACTAAAAGCTTTTTATTAGTTAGTAAGGTAGAAGTTGGGTTTAGATTTTGAGTAGGATTAGGGATGCAGAATAAGATCATACTTTATAACTATTAACGAACAGCTCATATCTTAATATTATGCAGCTAATAAGCCAGTAGTTAATAGAATGAATTGTGACCTAAACTAAAGTGTTCCCAAAACTCTTTGTAATCTCTCAGATTGATATAGTTCTGTCATCATTTACTCCCTCTTTTGAAGAAAGCTTTTTTCTACAATAAAAAATCAACGGTTAAAAGTTTTCAGCTTTCCTCAAAATATCTTGTTTTGTGTTCGCTGGAAAAAAAGAAACTCATAAAAGGGTTTTAACCACTTGAGATTGAGTAAATGTTAAGTAGGTTTTTATTTTTCTATTCCTTTAAGATTGAAGCAAACACATTAATAGTAGCAGTACTATAAACCCAGGTTTTTCTCTTTTGCTTTAAGTGCTTCTTTAAAAAAAAGCTTGAAAGAGTCTCAATGAAGTAATTGCATGGACAAATCAATCAAGTGAAGACAACAGCTACCCTGAGGTGTTTCGTTTATGAATATTAACTAAAAAAAGTGAGACGGGAAAATAATGGGCTGCGGAGAACAACTGAAAATAATGAAGAGCTTAATGTCCGATTAATATTAATGGTGTGTTAAATAAGTGGAAGCACAAGACGTCTCAAGTGTGACTGATGTCCTTATAGAGCTCAGCTAGGCTAAGGCTGATTTATGAAGCAGTCGGACTAATGAACACTAAAAGCAACGTTCTGCATCACATTGATCACTATATCTTTCCGCTTTAAGCTGCAGACCCGACTGTTATGCATCATAACTTGAACCGATCCGGAGGCTAAAACAGAGCGCAGCTGGACTGAAAAACTGCTTTTAATTTACTGTGAACTAGCAAGATTTATTTTTTTGTAAAATATTATTAGGAATAAAAGAGCATTTTTATTGTAATGTTTGGAAAAATAGACCAAAAAATCATTTAGCCTTTGAAAGAATTATTAATAATACAAAATAAATATAAGAAAGTTCTAATAATACATTCAAATTAAGTCAATATTTCACACTAATCTGCAAAACCACCAACTTCGATCTTCAATCGGTAGATTTCTTTATACCAACAACTGCATAACATCTTGGAGACTGAAGAGGGTCAAAGAGCTGAACCAGTGCAGCATGAGATACGTTCTCCTGTAAGAAAAAAAAGAGAGAGATAGTTTAAAAGTAAAATCACTTGTCATTTTAAATTGTATGCACAAATATATCTTTATTCCATAGTAACAATATGTTAAAGCAATATAAAAATATTTGTTGTCTTGACTTTTTGTCATTCCACTTTTACAGTGTGTTGAAACCTGTTGAATGATCTGATTGAGATGTTTTATTATGTTCTATGTTTTGAAGCTGAAATTCAGAAAAGGAAATAGACATTTGGTTTTTCAAAAGTGACCAATCACAACTGACTGGGCCATCTTGGTTAGACTCACTCGTCATTTTAACTGTATGTATAATTATTTTTTTATTCGAAAGTAACAATATTAAGGACATCAATCTGCATACATGTACTTTTTTTTTTTTGTTTAGTTTTATTTGTTATACAGGCTACAGTAATGTAGATGTAATTCACTAACAAGACTCATATATGAATCAATAATACAGGAATGGGACAGCGTGTAGCTTGTTTTTGATTCTCTTTATATGTTTTTGATTTAATAAAAAATGATTTGATAATAAGAATCAGTATTTTGGGAATGGGACTACACAGTCCATTCTATACATTTCGACCCATAAGAATGAGTATTTCAGAAATGGGAACACACTGTCCATTCTATACGTTTTTGATTCAATAAAAATAATTGACCAATAAGAATCAGTATTTCAAAATGCGACTACACTGTCTGTTCAATGTTTTTGATTCATTGAAAAGAATCAAGCAATAAGGATTAGTAATTCAATAATGGGACTGCACTGTCCATTCTCTGTATTTTATTCACTAAAAAGATCTGAACTGACTCATAAGAATCACTCATTCAAGAATAGGACTGCACAGTTTGTATTGTATGTTTATGATTCACTGATGATTTCTCATAAGAATCAGTAATTCAGAAATGGGCATGAATCCATATGCATGTGAATTGACCAATAAGAATCAGTATTTTGGGACTGATTCTTCACTATCCATTCTAAATGTTTTTGATTCATTAAAAAGAATCGAACAATAAGGATTAGTATTTCAGTAATGAGACTTCACTGTCTGTTCTCCATGTTTTTGATTCACTAAAAAGATCTGAATTGACTCAAGAATCACTTTTTAAAGAACAGGACTACACAGTTTGTACTATATGTTTTTGATTTATAATTTCTTTTAAGAATCAGTAATTCAGAAATGAAACGATATAATTTGTGTTGTATGCTTTTGGTTCAGTAAAAAAACTGGCTCATACGAATCAATCATTCAGGAGTGGGACAAAAATTATTATTTTTTTTTTTAACTAGTTCTATAAATGCTTCATTTACAAACAGAAATGTTCAAATGAATCATTGATTCAGGAGCCAAAATAATCTGGTTTTGCTGTTTGTTTTTACTTCACAAAATAGAAAAGAATCATGCAGTTGGGCATCAATGCAGCATGTTTTTGATTCACTAGAAATAAGTAAATCAATTAGTTTAGGAACTGTCTACATATACACTTGTGTAAGAAATTTATATTGAAATAGATAATTATTTTAAAATTCAGCTCTCAAAACAGAAGTAAAAAGAGTATTTTGATAAGGCCCAATAATCGGCTTAACTGTGCACAGGTTGTTTCAATCCAAAATACATATTACAGCTTTCCATAATCACTGCTGACCAAAGCATGTTAATATACTTGGCAGAACAGCCAGAGTACCATGTTATGAAATGGTTTATACAGGACGAAACCCTTCCCAGGCCAAAACTGTAAAGCAGACTCTGATTTCAACGCGGTTAGTGAAGTTTACAGACCATCAATGAGAAACCTTATCAGGTTGCCAAGCTCTTTAATATCTGTCATACACAAATCATACACCTCTGTGTAGAAAATACACACGGGGCTGACAGCGGGGAGATTTTACTTGCTCTGCATTACATGACTGATAAGTGAACCCTGTAAGATCATATGGAAATTATTCCCGGGGAAACTTGCTTTGTGGTTATAAACAAAATCATTCTGTCATGCCCTAAATTTCCAGTCTAACGCTCTTTACAGATGGCTGAGTCTGACACTCCTGACTGTCGTCGCGAGGAGGTTTTAGGTTTTATGTTCAAAGCCTGGTGGGCAAGAAGGAAATAGAGGTGAAACACAAAACCTCTGAACTCCTGTAAGTTGGAAACCTTTGTAAACCACACTTTTTTG